CCAATGAGCGAGCCCAACTACACAGACTACTACGACCCGAAAATGTTTCAGATCAGACGCATGACTCGGTCGATGTCCATGTACTACCACTCGAACATTTACCCTCGGGAGTACCCTTGAGTATTTTCACTAGTTTTTGTTCATTTTTCATTTACTGTTTCTTTCATTTCATTTTTGAGACACTTTTAGCATTTTTCACTTGCTAGATCAAGTATATCCCCCCTCTATTCATGTTGTTCTCTTTATTATGAAATAAAATAGCCACACTAATGTGTGGTTAATTAAAAAAAAAGTTGACAAATAAAAAAAAACCTTATTAGTTGTTAAATTCAATTCATGATTCGTGAATTTAGTAATTTCTTGGATTTTTTAATTATTTATGCATTCCTGTGTGTTATTTATTTGCTTAGCTACTATTGGATAACTTGTTGCTTATTAATAGTATTGGAAGACTCACAATAGGTAGAATACTGCATATTTAACAACGAACAATATGTATGTATTAGAAATAATAGTTATGGCTTGTGCAATCTTGTGGGATAAATCCTGTGAATTAGTGCATGTTTTTCATATGAATTCAGACCAGAAATAGGATTGGATCGTATTAAACATACGTTTGATATATCTTTAAAAAGAATATTGAATAAAACTGGATTATGATTGTCATTAACACTAGAAAATAATACTATTTTTTATGAGTTGAGAATTGGAAATAGGACTAACAGGAGGATTTAGAAATTCAATACGTTTATCACATATTTGATAAAACAACTTTTATTGCTTTCGTAATTTAAAATTAGTATAAACAAAAAATAATGTCTTTTGTGTTACAACACTTGGCAGGTTTGATAATAAATGGGAAACAATATTAGACATTATTTCTTGTGGAATGATACTTTTAATTCACTACATTATTACTTGTCAACGATCACGTACGCTTACGAGATTTTACCGAACACACAGTACACTTTGAAATAAAGTAGAACCAGCTAGTTTTGGTCCACTTTAGTTCCACGTAAAATTGTTTAGTTGAAGCATAAAATTCTAATTAATATTACATTCAGTCTTGATTTCATAAGAATATCAATAATAATACTAACGCAGGAGCTAAGAGTTGAGTTGTGTGCCCATACAGTATAGCTTTGATGTAATAAAATGATAATTTTTATGATTATAATTGTTATTGGGTTAGCACCTTGTACTCAATGGTTATATATGTGACTATTTCACCATCCAGTTTGCGATTTGTCCATATAGCGTAAATGGCTTTATGATGACTCGGGTACATTTGAACAGTGTTAAATGGATCGCACGTCGAGTTTAATTTTATAGCATGATCGTAAGGAGAGTTAAAAGTCCACTTGATCTCTAGATATTTTATCTAAATCATTTGACATGATTGTGTATACAATTTCGATTGATCAATTATCTAGTTAAGTTAGAAGATTGAAAACAAGCAAAGTAGAGGACATGAATAATGTTTGGAGAATTGTCAACCTAAAAATGTGTCAATGGCTAACTAAATATTTTCTTTTAAACAGTTATAAATCTAACTCAGTATTTGGCTATGAGAAGATTTCGACATTTGTATTTATTCACATGATTATTTAAGAAAATGTAACTTAAATTAATGAGAATAACTAAAGAATCTATAAGTATTAATGAGATAAGACAAATAGTCATTTATGCCCGCACCTAATTATCGATTCTATTATGGGGATGAAATACATAGACAATAGGTTTAAGGAAAATATTGCACATTTACTTTAGCTTCTATTATTTTATATATTTCGAGAATGCACTCTTTTGTCTGAAGTGAAAGAAGCAAATACACTCTTTTGTGTGATTTAAGGTCGACTAGACCTGATTTAATTATTGAAACTTGGATAAAATATGTCCTGACAGGTCTATGTGGTAATTCTCTTAAGTTTTGAACTTAGTTGCAATTAATTTTAAAAAAATTGAACTTAATTGTAATAATTAAATCAATTATGGCATAAATAGACTTGGATGTGGATTGAAACTTTTGATCTATATATATAGACCTTGGGGACCGATTTTTCAAGAGAAAAATGAACAAAGATATTCTTTCTTTTTGGGGAAAAAAAAATTTTGGTCTGTCCAGTTTAGAATTGAATTTTTAATTTAATCAAAAAGATGCATACATGCTGTTGTTGTATATGCCTTACAGAATATCATACAAGAATTCGAAGATTGAGAGCAACGAGTTATTGAATTAAAAGCTGAAAATCGTGAATTGAGATTTTAGAGGTTCATGATTCAGATCTAATCAAGAAATGAAATATTGATTTGCATAAATTATAAATATGACTTTCTTGGCTATGATATACACGTGAACATCTAGTAAAAATCATGGGTGATTGAGTTAAAGAATTATTTTATTTTTTTGGTTAATTCTCGTTCCACTTTCCAACCATTGTTATCAAGGCATTTTACATCATTCACATGCTTTTATACTCCTTGAATCTTTAATTGCATATTCTAGTCGTGCAACGTTTAAATTTAACTGATTATATGATAATAAATTGATTGAATTTATTTTAAATTATGGTTTGATTAGTTGTGGCCACAATGGTTGATTGTGTAATTCATTATTTCAAATCTATAACAAGTTAGGTGGGTTACAATTCCTTCATCTTAAACTCAATTTTTCATTTCAATTAGATACAAGATTGTGAGCCAAAAAATCGAGACATAAATTTTTTGTAATTTTTCAGTTCTCGCGATTGTAGAATTTCTTGTATATTGACTAAAGAATCGAAGACCAATCTCGAAGAAGATCTTAAATGAACAACAAAAAATATATAAATATAGTGTGAATCTATGTCACGTGTAGATCCACACTGATCTAATCGACTTATTATGCATGCAGTCCTCATGATGTTTTTCGTAAAGATCCGTTCAAATTCGTTCCCTAGGTCAGTGCACAAATTTGGTCGGATCTACACAGATTGAGTTCAAATATTTTGTAAGGTCGTGAATTCGATGGCTTAGCAGCAATTTTTCTAAGAAAGATGAAGATGGATAAATATAATTACCCAAACCCACCATAATATAATTACCCAAACCCTAATCAAAATATGTTCATTATCTTCTCTCGTCTCACCGTGTGCTCTCTCCTCACTCTCCTCTCTGCACCCTTCTCTCTTCTCTATGCACAGCCGCTTCTCCGACGCATCCATTCCCAAGACCTCGGCGCAGTATCGCCACAAGATGGAGAAGCTCCACACGATGATGCTGGGGAGACTCGATGTTCCGATTTACGGGATTTCATCCTCCATGAAGGTTCGGATCTATAGCGGCGTTTTGGTACTGGATATGCCGTAATGTTTTAGTTATGGTAATGGCGTTGTGGCGATGACGGCAATTTTCTGGATTTGGTGGTAACAGTGGTTGGGTGCGGTTGTGTAGTAGATCTAGCGCTGTTGGTGGTGGATTCGGCGTTGGGGAGGTGGTGGATTTGACACTATTGATGGTGGTGATGTGCGGTGTTAGGTGAGGTTTCGGTCATGTCCGCGAGATGGGGTTGGAGGTGACACTGATTATTTTGTGAGTAGTTATTGGCGACTGTGATTGTTGGCGGTCGTGATTAGTTTGTGCGCGCGTGCATGCGTGCGGGGGTGGGTGTGGGGCGTGCCGACGATATGGGTTAGAGGGGACTGTGATTATTTTGTGTATGTAATCAAGTGTGACCAATTAAAATTGTGACTGTGACTCACTGTAATCGAGTTGAGACAAAAAATAATGCGTGACCAATTAATTTGAGAATGCCATCAATAAAATAAGTGAGTTGTGACCACATCTTGGATTTGTCATCGATGCATAATATGTGACCTTAAAATTGTTATTGTGACTCACAATTTATTAAGTTGTAATCTAATTGTCACCAATAAAAATGTTGATTTTGTGATCAATGAATAAGTCGTAACTTATAAAATTTTCTATTTGTGACTAAGAAATGCATATACAATTCTTGATTTGTGACCATAAAATAAGTTGTGACCAATAATTTGATAAACTGTGATCGATTTGCAATGAATAAATGAGTTACTAAAGTCATAGTTTACTGGTTACAAATTTGAGTTCACAAGTCAGGATCATTTTGTATAGGTCACAAATAAATATAGACAGGCCACAGATTAGTATGATCAATTAATTTGATAGTTAACTGTAACTAATTAATTCGTCATTAAGGTTAGATCATTGTCATGGGTTTGAGTTCACAAGTTACAGTCATCTTTTATAGGTCACAAATCAAATCAATATTAACAGGTCACATGTGTTTGTAGAGTTACGATTCAAAAATACAGGTCACATTTACCTGAATAGTCGTCGAAACGATCATCAACATAGTCGTCAGAATCGGAGCAGTCGTCGAAACGGTCATCAGAATTGGAGCAGCCGCTAGAACGGTCACCGAAATAATCGCCGAAATCGGAGTAGTGGTCAGAACGGCCGCTGGAGCAGTAGGGGTGGTGGAGGTGGGGGTGGGTTAACTATATATATAGTGTATGTTTATGTCAAATATCTGATTTTAGAAATTTAAAAGTTGTTTTCTTATTTTTGAAATGGCTAATTAGCACAAAACGTCCCTACTTTTGGGGTTGATTTAGAAAACCGTCCCTATTTTTCATTTATTGACATTTATACCCCTACCTTCCACTTTTTGTGCGCTGAACGTTCTTTTCACAACTTTTTGACGATCTTACCCCTCATTCAATTGAAACAAAAAGAAAAGAAAAGAGAGACTAAAGAATTAATTGCAATGATAAACCTAAATTTTCAAAACCTACTTTTGATTGCTATTAACCTTTTCACAATACAAAATATGCTTCGATAATCAATGAAAGCACCTCAACGGCTCAACCGCCACCAAAAATGACCCAGTGGATTCCTCTACTTCCACCGTAGGCTTCTATCTCAACCCCTTCTTAAATCTCAGTCGAGGTGCGTTGTGTACCGTAATCGGTGGATAAAACTCAGCAAGAATGGAAGCGAGCAGGATAAGCCAGTGGCGAAACTGCATTTGACAGGAAGCGAGCAGGCGATGCAATTTGGAGGTGAACCGTAGTGGACAATATGGTGGGGGTTTCATACAGCAATCCGGATTGTGGAGGACCAATTTTGTCAGTTACCACCTCAACCACACCCTCAATTGCTTGACTTTCCTTGGGTTCAACTGCAGGAAGTGGGTTTTGCCGGCGACGATTTTGAGATTTGAGGGTTACTGTGAAAAAATTGATTTTGAGATCGATTTTGAGTTCAATCAATTTTGGTTCCTCTCTCCCTACCCCCTCATCTTTTCTCTGCAGTTTCGTCAAAGCCTCCAGTCCCACCACCTCCTTAATTTTCAGAAACAAGCCCAGCTTGATTCCATCCAAAACATGCTCAGCAAAGGACCCAAAGAAAAAACACCAAACCAAGATAAAAATAGTCGAGATTGAATTTGCCGGAGCTGGAGCAGGAGCCCCGATCGAGATAAATTAGGAGGAAAAGGAAAAGAGCCCAACCTTGAGTGCCGGCGACCGAAACGAAACAGAGGTTCATTGAGGGCCAAAAACTTCAAATCGCAGAGGAATTTTATAGGAAGAATGCGTATTAGTGGCAATTCTAATTCCTTGCTGTTTAATTGTTTCCAAACTTATTGCTTTCCTAGTTTTAATTTCCTAATTTGCTTTTCCTCGTTTATTTCTTTCCAAGTTGGGGTTGAAGATTGTAATTTTTTGGATTATTCTTTAACGAAAGTATCAAAGGAAGAAAATCAGTTTTCTGCCATTCAATAAAATCTGGAGATTTATTCTGTGGAGTGATTCCATTGTTGCATATTGTATCTGTACTAAACTTTTGGCTCTGACGTGAGGTTGTTCCAGGGAGTAAATTTAATAAATGCTCATCCATCTTTACTCTATATTACTACTTGCTCACTGAACAATAAAATATTACCCGTTACTCACCCATCTATCTAATATATTACCCGTTCATCACCCGTCTCAATTCCGTCAAGTGCAATTAACGGAATGTCCTACGTGGCGGATGAAAATAATACGTGGCACATAACGGATTAAATTGAGGGCCAACAGTGCAAAAGGCCCAAGACATTTCATCAGTTTCAAATCCCCTTTTTCCCCTAAATTGAAATCTCTCTCTCTCTACGCACAGGAGGCCAAATCCACCCCAAATTCACCCCCAAATTCACGAGCCCTAAATTCGCCACCAAAATCCCGAAGAGAGGCTGATTGACATATGGGGAACAATGTGTGAGAAAGAAAGTTAGAAGAATGAGCCTGGCTTCAGCATCTTACCTGGCTCGACGAGCTGCACAGAAGGAAAGGTTGAGAATCCTCTACAGAAGAGCTGTCAAGGACACTCTTAATTGGGCCGTTCATCGCCATCTCTTCTATCCTGATGCCGATGAGAGAAATCCTGTTTGTCTACATCCACTCGTCCCCCACAGCAAAGCAAAAATGGAATCTTGAAAGAGATGGAAAGTGGAAATTAGAATTCCACTCGGCACTTTGACTCCAAAGAGAGGCTGATCAGTTGGGTGAAATGATTTTTTTCTTTTTGCAGGTTTTCACAACAATATAATCTGACCTCCATCTTTGTAGTAGGAAAATTGATTTCAGATTTGAGCCACCATATTAACGTTTTTCCCTGTATTGTAGTAGGACAATTGGTGGACTCTGTTCTCTGTGTATTTGAATATATAAATGAATGGAATGGGATTTAATCCTTGATTTGTTTAAGGATTTAGTTTTAAATGTTAATCTTTCATTGTGTTTTGTATATGCCAATTGTTGGTTAATGAGATGATTGCTGGTGCATATGAATTGAAGAAGAAATAATGGTGACTTTTGTTGTAATGGCAGAGGAGTTTGGTTATGCAGATGAGTAATGGTGACTTTAAAAAAATAACGGTAGAGTTAATACAGGGACTTCCATTCTTGTCAACACTGCCATGGCTAACAAAACTTACAGGTCAAAATAAAACCATTTCTCAGAATGGCATGACAGTTTCCACCTAGATTGTTTGGGAAAAGGGATTTGTAGTAACTAATGAAGAAAGCTTCAATTCATTCCAGTAAAAGCAACAAATCACACACATCTCAAAAGTCAATACAAAATATGGCACCAACTAGTTTGTTTCCAAAATATGGCACAACTTCTAACGTAAAACACTAAAAACAAATTGGTGTTCTACTGAGTAGCTGCATGGGTCCTTTTCCTCGGAGGTGCAAATGGCACTGAGCCTCTAACCACTCTTTTGTTCTTGTCTATGGCTGCCCTCTTCCGTGCATTTTCTTGAATTTCAATATGTTGCAAATCTTCCACCATAGTTTGGAGTGGCATATTTTCAGCTGGTGAAGGAGCACTCCAGTTATATTGTGCAGCATTTGTCAAATCAATTCCAGGTGTTGGCATGAAATGGAACTCAGAAGGTGGAGGTGGTGGTGGTTGAACTTCATTTATTGAACTCATGTTTGATCTCCTAGGCACTAGCTTTACCATTACGTTGTGGTTATCAATCTGACTAGGCCTTTCTTGAATTGTACACTCTTCATTAGTTTCTAGCAAATCCTGAAATAAGTAAACATGTGAATTCATTATAATCATTTTAAGCAAATTAATCATTCTAAGGAGAAATATGAAATCTTTAAAATTAGAACTATGTAAAAGAAAACATACCTCCTGGGGTGCATCGTGCCTTTGATGGTATCGTTTGTTGTGCCCCATTCCTCCACAGTCACTACAAGTCATAAGTACAGTTCCCTTTTTTTTCATTTTTGCCTTTGAGCCTGAATGGGTGATAACATCTTCTTCCTATTGTCTCCTTCTTTTCTTTTGTGTTCTCCCCCTTTTGGGCTTAAACCATCCTGGTGCTATAATTGGTGGGGCATCAATTGAAGGCCACAACTTTGAGCCATTTATAGGATTAATAATATTCTCATAGCAACTGAGGTACGTATCAACTCTATAGCACTCATTGACATACTTCCAGGGCTCATCATATCTGTCTAAAATAGCGGCAACTGCATGAGCACAAGGAATCCCTGTCAAATCCCATCTCCTGCATGCACACGTCCTGTTTGGCAGATCAACAACGTATTCTCCACTCGAACACCTCACATAAGACTGTGTCCCCCCTGACCAGTCCACCTCAAACCCCTCAGCCATTTCACTGCTCTTCATTAGTTTCTGCTGTATTTTAGGACACAAAGGTCCTGTTACTTTTCTCATTTTATCCCTCCTTGATTGTATTCTTTTCATGAAGCTTATATGTATATCAATTAACATGGTCAATATGGACTTCTCCCTATCCTCCAACACAACCTTGTTGAATACCTCACAAAGATTATTCAGAACTATATCACTCTTCACCTTTGTCAGAAAATGTGCTTTACTCCACTCACTTGGGTGCCTCTTCATTAACCAACCGTGTGCAGCCTTACTCACCTTTTCAATTTCATCCATCCAGAACTTCCAATCAGGAACTGTTGTTGACTTTGCTGCCCTCCATAAGTAGTCCTTCAGAGTCAGACCTTTAAAATCAGCTCTAAAGAAATTGGTGTACATGTGTCTGACACAAAAACGATGTTCAGCTTCTGGATATAAATCATCTATCACATTCTGTAAACCTTTTTGCCTATCAGTCATAAAAGTCCACTCATTGCTATTCATAATCTTCAAATCTTCACCTAAATGTCGTATAAACCATCTCCAAGTTGCCTCGTTCTCTCTCTCCACTATAGCATATGCTACTGGATAAATACAATCGATGGCATCTACTGCCACTGCCACGAGCATCTGACCTCCAAAGGTCCCTTTCAAAAAACACCNCCTCCAAAGGTCCCTTTTAGAAAACAACCATCTAATCCTAAAAGCTGCCTACAACCTACCATGAACCCTCTCTTGCAAGCTTCTAGACAAACATATATTCCTTGAAATTTTTCAGCATTTACGACGATCATGCATGTAGAACCGGGATTGGTTCTTAAAATTTCAGCGGCAAAAGACCTAAGCAAGCCAAATTGGTGCTCATTAGAACCATTTATTAATATCCTAGCATATCTTCTAGCCCTCCATATAGTAACGTCGTTGATTGTCAACTTCAAATCATCTTTCACAGCCTTCTTAATCAATCTAGTCTTCCAATCAGGATCAACTTTGAAAGTCTCCAGGTACCTCTCGGCTATATACCTAGCAGTACAATGCCTATTTGTTCTGTCCCTCATACATGTATGTTCTGAATTCTTAGATTTTATTTGCACGCAACCTAAGTCTCCAAGTATCTCTCGGCTATATACCTAGCAGTACATTGCTTATTTGTTCTGTCCCTCGTACATGTATGCGCTGAATTCTTAGTTTTTATTTGGATGCAACCTACCACCTTATTCAAAGATGCCCAAATCCTGAATTTACAATTGTCTTTTTTGCATATGGCCTGTGCCCTCTCATCATCATTTGGCCGAAATCTAAAATTGTGCCTAGTTGCAACCCCGTGATTCCTAACAGCTTGCTTAAACTCCTCAATATTTTTGAACTCCTTCCCAACCTCTAATTGCGGGTCGTACTTTTCCTTTTCAGCATCATAAACGGGAAAGTGATAACTCTTTTCTTCACTAGAAGAATTATCAGCATGCAATTCATCCTCACTAGGACAATAACCATCATCATTTCCTAACTCCTCTACGCCCACAACCTTAAATTCAAGCGTTGGATCTGCATTAAATCCCACCAGAACACGTTCAGGTGCATTTGTGTCAAACTGAAAACCATCATCATTAACCTCATCATCTGAGTCATTCAGGTGGCATTCAAGAGGTATCAATTCCTCTTCGTCGAAGGTCAAGTCTACATTAAAAACACAAGGTTAGGATTTTTCAAACGGCTCCATATATGCAAAAACAATATAATCATATAGACGAACATGAATATGGTCACAAAACAAAGAAATTATTGTCCCAAATAATAAAATGCAGATTCAACGAAAAGGGATAAAAGTGTGATTCCAAAGAAAAATATGAAAAATACACAATATTATAATATAAACATGGATGGATATGGCTCTAAACATAGAAATTGTTGTCCCACATAATACAATATAGATTCAACAACGTGCATCCAGAGAAAAAAAAACATAAAATGATTCAAATAAAGAAAGATACTACTACGAAATTGTGGTCCCATAAGAGAATATTCAGGGTCCATTGAAAACTAAAATAAATTTACCACGTGGTTGCCCATCCTCATCTATCTCGAATCTTGTTTCTTCCACAGTGACATTGCATTCCATAAAGGCTGGTGGGTTTTCTTGTTTCAAAGATTTTGGTTTTGCTCAAGAATAGGTTGACAGTGATTATTCAATTTGGATTTTCAATCTTTGAATTTCATATTTGGAAGAACATTAATGAAGATGAAGAGAAAATGAGGGAGGGCTCTTGTCTGTAGAGGGAGATTTCAATTTAGGGGAAAAAACGGGATTTGAAACTGATGAAATGTCTTGGGCCTTTTGCACTGTTGGCCCTCAATTTAATCCGTTATGTGCCACGTATTATTTTCATCCGCCACGTAGGACATTCCGTTAATTGCACTTGACGGAATTGAGACGGGTGATGAACGGGTAATATATTAGATAGATGGGTG